AATAATAATAATAATAATAATAATAATAATAATAATAATAATAATAATAATAATAATAATAATAATAATAATAATAATAATAATAATAATAATAATAATAATAATAATAATAATAATAATAATAATAATAATAATAATAATAATAATAATAATAATAATAATAATAATTAATAATAATAATAATAATAATAATAATAATAATAATAATAATAATAATAATAATAATAATAATAATAATAATAATAATAATAATAATAATAATAATATCAATAATAATAATAATAATAATAGTAATAATAATCTCGGTAAATTATAAAGATATAAAGATTTAAATTCCTTAAATTACTATCAATTGGCAAAAATTTCTTACTCTTGCTCTTTCTGCTTTTTTCGTCGTTCCAATTCTTCCTTCTTTTCAATTTCAGGCGCAATAGGCGAAGCAATATTAATACTGTCTTGCTAGAAAATCATATTTCATAATTAAACGATACACTTTTTAATTCATTAAAATTATGAAATTTAAGCAAAAAAAAAGCAAAATTATATTTATTAGGTATAAACCATTAGCAAATTTTCAATTTTCTAAAACTTTTCCAATTTTTTTTCTCAAGTCATTAAATTTCACACTTTGCTTTGAATTAAATTTTCGGATTTTATTTTAAGACAATAAAATAAAATACAAATATGCCAACAAATTTCACAATATTAAGTTCTTCACATAATGCTTTGGAAATTGGATGATTATCTCAATGAATATAATAAATATCTCATTACAATCATTCGTTTTGTTAAAAAAATTCCAAACAAATCGTTTAATTTTCATTAATATTTATGCAAAATTAATTTCTTATTCAAATAGAAAAAGTTGATTTCTTTTTTTTTTATTAAATATTTTGATAATAATGTGATAAAAAATTTTTGAGATAAATTTATTTTTAACAACAATTTTTTCATTTTAAAAAATAAAAATAAAAACTATCAAACAAAAGAGGAAAATATAAAAGTTCAGCTATAAAAGTTCAAAATATAAAAGTTTCAGCTTTTTTTTGTATTATTTCAAATATTAAATGATCAATTATTTTAATCCTTTTCAATTACTTGGATAACTATGCTGTCAAGTATTTTTGGATCAAACATTTCAAATAAAAACAAAAACCGAAATATAAATACTATACTAACCTCATTCGCAGGTTTCACTGTTGAATCACTCATCCATTGTCCGGTAGTACTTACACTTTCGGTTACTGTTTTTGATATCGATTCTATTTCTTCCTCATCCTTTTCTTCCTGAGTTTCAGCTTTCTCTTCCGTTAATATTCCAACATTTTTCAATTGTGCAATCGTTAAATTAGTAATTTCCGGTAATTGATAGGATGATTGAACTTTTTTAAGCTTTTTAGTAATATATTTAAAATCACATCGTTTTTCAACATTTATTTTCCAGCATTTATTCACCAAATGAATTACTTCTTTTGGTGTAATTTCTGAAATCCATTATTTTTTGTTTTTTTTTCTCTTAAATGCAAAATAAAGAAAAAAAGGATAAGGAATTATACCATAAATATTTGATTTAAGACAACAAAGAAAAAAAACAAATAAAGAAAAAAAATAATCGAATTGAATTAAATTTAAATTATTTTAAATTTGAAAAAATGACTTATTTATATAGTTATTAATTAATTTCAATATACAATCTCAATGATTACTTTCAAAAAAAAAATATTTTAATGATATCACCTGACTTTGTTTTTCTTTTTAAATTAATATTACCAATTGTACTAATTATATTACCTGGCATATCAGGCATAATACCACGTTTAATATTTGCTGCACATTGTCGTACATCCAAATTTGGCCATGGTTTAATACCATTATTAAAAATTTCATATAATAATACACCATATGACCAAACATCACTTTTAACACTATAATGCGGTTGACGTTGAATTGTTTCCGGTGCCATCCATCGTATGGGTACCGGAAATCATTTTGATTATTAATTATTTCTGGTAATTGTTATAATTATCATTATTATTTTTAAATATGCCAATGATAATTTTGTTCGTCAATTATAGCAAATTATAATAACTAGTTTTAATCCAAAAAGCAATTCTAAAATTATGTATTGAATTAAACAATTCAACGAAATGTCATTATATAATATATAATCTAGCATATTTAAAAATAGAATTAAAAAATGGAATTTAAAAATAAAATTAAAGAAATAGGTTAAAAGAACAGGAAAAAAAGAATTTAAAAATGGGAAAATAAAATTGAAACATTTGTTACCCTTTGTTTTGTCAAATTATCAATATGATCAGTAGCTAATTGGCTAAGGCCAAAATCGGAAATTTTAATAATACCATACTTACTAATTAAACAATTTCGTGTAGCCAAATCACGATGTATCAATTCTCTATAATTTTTTTTTGTATAGAATTTAAAAAAATAACTCACATATTATTAATTTAATATCAATCAATCAATCAACCAATCAATAAAGTTAACTAAATATTCAATCATTTGATGCAATGAATTGATTTTAAAACACTTTTTTCTTTATAATCGATTTGTAAATTTTTCTAAAATAAAATTGAAATGACACAGTTTTACTGTAAACAATTAATTCAACAAAGCTTATTATACAAGTTTTAATAATTAATTTAACATGCTTTTTCCATAATTAAAAATGGAATGTTATACTTTTCCTGTAAATAACGCATTCCTTTTGCTGTTTCTAAACCATATAAAATTCGTTCACCAACTGTAATCTTACATTCCCATTGCCGTAAATGAGCGTCCAATGATCCACCTGTACATTGTTCCATTACGATAGATATAGTTGGTACATCATAACATATTCCATGAAACTATAAGTAATTAATTAATTAGAAAAAAATTCATAAGTTTTTCTTAAGACAAAAGAATGGTGGAAAAAAAGAAAGGAAAATGACGAGAAAAAAAAGTGAGCAAAAGAAGAAAAGCGAAAAAGATAAGAATGAGGACTGTTTTGTCTTTGTTTTTTTTTTTTTTTTAAATTTTTGAAATAATACTCTTACCAATTTTTGAAACTAAAAAAAAATTATTTTCAATTTTAAACTCATTTCTATTTTTTTATTTTCAATAATTCTATTTGTACCTATATTATACAAAAAAAAGTTTTTTCCGTGTCTTTTGAATGAATTATCTTTCAAATTGATTTGTATTACAATTATAAAACCTTTCGAAACTTTTTTCTTCCTCCCTCTCTCTCGCCCCTTCTCTCTCTCTCTCTCTCTTCTTATCCATTATGCAGAATTTGATTAAAATTTCTTTTTTTCTTCTTCACTCAAGAATCATCTAATTATTGCTAATTTTTGAAAAATTAGTAACAAAGCGAGAAATTTTATCTTTAAAAAAAAGTGAAATTAGAATAATATTATATATATGTAAGAAATTCTGAACATTTCTGGTCAAATATGATAATTTTGAATTGGATTTTTTAATGTGATGAAATGAAATTTGAATAAATAATTTAAAACAATTCATGTTTTCTTGTTAAAATGATTAATAATTTATTATTTAAAATTTTATTATTGAAAGTTATAAATAGTTTGGAAATTTTACAACCTTAACAACATTTGGATGCTTAAATTGCGACATTAAAAATGCTTCACGCATCAATGATTCCTTGGCATCATTAAAATTTGCACTTCTACCTAAAACATTTGTGGATAAATTTTCTATTAATATGTTCTTTGTTAACAGTATTAATATTACTTCTTCTCCTTATTCCTCTTGCTCTTCTTTTATTATTATTATTATTATTATTATTATTATTATTATTATTATTATTATTATTATTATTATTATTATTATTATTTAGTTTATTTAGTTATTATTATTATTATTAT